AATGAGTAAAAACATGAAATCATAACCCTAATACCTACAAAAGAAGTGTCAGCAACCTTATTCCCCCTTTCAGTGTTGGAAAATGGTAAAATGAAAACTTGTGTTAGATGAATGTGTTTTGTCAACGTTGGGCTGGGGAGTGGCAAAATGCGTATAGAGTGACGTTTTCCAACCCTTGTGGCGAAGGTCTTTTACCAAGTATCCTGCCTATGAAACGCAATCCCCTTACTTTTAATATTCTTCTTTGCTCATAGGAATCCGACGAAGGCGGTGAGGAGGACGATGACGTCGATGACGATGATGACGATGACAACGACGATGACGACGATGATGATGACGATGATGACGAAATAGAAATCACGATTTCAGGAGATGACGATGATTCGGACGAAGATAGTGATACACTGGTAGCGTTTTGAAGGACTGCAGCTTGACCGTGCCTCCAGAGAGGACAATTCAGGTCACAGAGAATTTGACAACAGGAAGGGAAGGTAGATGGAAGCACGTCAACGTCAACGTTCGGTTTTTAATCACCCGTCTCAAACGAAACAAATCATAAAGTTCCGTTAGTTTTTACCATGAATTTGAGAAGCTCAAAACCGTGACCAAATAACAGGATCCTCGACGATAAATGATATGATTTTGTAGGCAGCACTCGTTGAGTGGCACAAATCCATCTGGAAGTGACGATGGGCAACAATGGGGAGGGAAGACGGCGATTACAAAATAAAATTGAAACCTGAGCATACTTTAAATTCTTTTTGCAAGACGACCTCGTACAAGCCGCTCAGTCCTTGCCTTTGTCGACAGCATTCAACCCGAACGACTTTCAGGATTAAACCAATATGGCAAAAAAATAATTTTTATGTATCATTATTCCGACACAACTTGTATTTTATTTTTAAGGGTGAGGGGTTTTTCTCAATATGTTGGATACATATCTCAGACTTGTACATACTGTTTGTACTTCGGTTGAATAGATGTATCTGAGAACATCTTGAAGTTACTACCTCGTCTATTACTGACGTTTACTTTTCTATGGCAACCGTATTTAAGACTTCAACAAAAATTCATAATTCCCCGCTTTAATGAATGGTATTTCCACATTTTCTGATTGCATAGTTTGTATGTCTTTCTACTTTAGCTAGCAACGCTATTTGAGGAAAGGTTAATTGAATTTAGTCTAAAATTACCACGACAGTGTTTCCCATTGTGATCTATTATAGAAACCTCTGTGAAGCGGATTCCCTCGCCCTGTCCGCCCTCTATATTTAAGGTTTGTAAAATTCCTAGGGATGGTACTCTGTTAGTCTTTGGGTGGGGTGTGCCGCTGAGACACAGAAACCCTTTACCCTATACCAGACCATAATCGGCTTGATTTTGCAACCCTATTCCAGACTAGCTACCAAAAACCCCTACCCCATCCCAGACTAGCTATTTTCCTTGCAGAATCTTTATCGCTATCTTAGTCCAACATACGTTAACTAAACCAATATCTTACAAAGTCACTTCCGCGTTTCAATTTCTATTATATAACCCCAGGTAAAGAACCCTATTCTACATTAAATTATTTATACACTGGCCACTTTTGCGGAACATTATATGCTATTTTAGACCAAAACTGTCTGATCTCTATATTCTATCCCAAACTGAACTGCCTGGAAACCATACACTTCACAGCGACAAATACCCATATAAAGGTTTTGCACGGCAGCCATGTTTTATGGCAGGAACAATAGATTATTTTTTCTATGGCAAAAAATGTTCTTTCTAATGCAAAACATTTTAATTTTTCTTGCCATACAACATGCCTGCCGTGCAAAACGTCCATAGCCTATATATGGGAGTACGCTCCCCCCCCCGGGGGGGGGGG